GAATATCCTGATCCTAATAACTCCATTTATGTGGCTTGGGTCACCCAAAGATTTTTGGTTTGTATATACATTCTCTTAATTTTTTTTTTATTCTATTATTTCTTTTGCTAGGGCCGTAGGAATATGTGCAACTTTAACAACTGCAATTGCGTGTGTTTTAATACTTACGCAAATGATGATGGACGGCTTAAACAGAACCACCCCCGTGCCACATAAAGTGCACGGTTTTCATGATTTTTTCCTGGCTTTCGGAGTACTACTATTCGCATTTGGTGGAGCTTCGACTTTTCCCACCATCCAAAACGACATGGCTGATAGAAGTAAATTTGCAACGAGTGTCACTTGTGCCTTTTCAGGTATATCACCAGTCAAATTTTCTGTTATTTTATTATCAGTGTAAAAACTTGGTGTTGTAGTAATATTAATCCTGTACTTCCCCGTCAGTGCGGGAGGGTATTTCGTTTACGGGGATACGGTCGATATGAATGTTATCAGATCATTATCAAAAACTGTTGTAGTAACAGCAGCAAATATCGCTATGGCGATTCATCTGATTTTGGCCTTCCTAATCGTCATTAATCCCGTTTGTCAAGAATTGGAGGAATTCCTTAAAGTGCCTCATTGTAAGAGCTCTTTTAATTTTGTATATTTTTATTCCTACTAACAGATATCTATCTTTTCATAAGATTATCACTGGAAGCGGTGTATATTAAGAAGCGGAATGGTAATTGTTATGCTTATGGTTGGGGAAAGTATTCCACAGTTTGGAAAAATTCTGTCTTTAGTTGGAGGCTCGACTATTACTTTATTGACGTTTGTTTTTCCGCCTTACTTTTACATAAAGTTGTGCAGCCAAAAGGATCCTCTGTGGCCTAAAAGGTAAGCTTATTACACTACTATAGGGATGTAAACGAAAGCCAAATCATTTATAAATAATCAATTGTACCATGGTTTCAGACATATTCCGGGTTATTTAAAAGTTATCCTATGGGAATTAATTTTGATAGGAATAATTGGTGGTTCAGCGTCGACTTACAGTGCAATAATTGACATATTTGGGGCAAAAGCAGTAAATAAACCGTGTTACTGGCCTTGACTATAATAAGCTAAAGCAAATTATTTTAGACAATTAGCTTTTTATACATTGTGATAAAAGTCTTTTTAATGTGATAGACATGTAAGAGATTTTAATTAATATTTTACAGGTATAAATGTTATAGTTTAATGAACTTTTTTACTGAAAACTTCGATTACACAATCACTGTTATACAGTTATTTGTTGTTTTTTAAGAACTGTTATTTGAGCCACACTTTAATCGAAAACGATATTACTTCTAGTGAATAAAATTAATGTTTATCTTGGATAACATTAAAACAACAATATTTGCACACGATCAAATGGCGATAAATAAAACAACGGGGTATGAGATTGTAGTAAGTATTTATTTTGCAATTTTTTGTTTTACAGGCATTAAAAAACCTTTGGTAGTCTTATAATTGAAACAAATGTATTTTTCCTAAAAAACAAATTCACTACTTTGTACAAGATTTTAATATGAAACCTGAAACACGAAGCCCTTTTAAAAACATAATAACACACAAAAATACTGGCAAAAGAAACTACTATTTTTTTAAATATATTTTATATATACAAAGCAACATAGGCAACATGTCTAAATAAATAAGATCCGTTCTCGTCGTCACAAGCGCACAACAAAAAAGGTAAAAGGATGATAAAAACAATAAAAAATAAATGAAAACGACACAACTGCACATTGATTGGCATATCTTTAACCAACAGAAGTGTNGATTATCACTGGAAGCGGTGATAATCTTATGAAATAATAATAATAATAATGATATCATTATTACACTATAATAATACAGGGCGAGACACGAAAAACTCCAAAAATTAGAATATAAATTCGTTCCCCATGTTTGTCGCGTCCAACCCTGTTCAAAAATGTTACCATATTATTAACAAACGAACCGCGTATGCGAGGGGTTAAAAAGTCCGCCTCCACTGCATCCAGGAGGAGGAGGATCGTCGTTTCTATTATTACGCGCGACCGTCCTTATTGCAGCCCGTCTTCTTTCGTTCTCGTTTTCTGACAGATCCTTCAGGACGACATTCTCCAATCTGGGGGACAACGCACTCCGAGGCAATGGAGCCGGATCCACGCAATCCTCTCGACTGTAAAACAGTATATATGGAGTTTCATGATGTTTCATGTTACCCAACATCGATTCGCTTGCACGTGTCACCACGCAATCGCTAAACATGTACCACTCTTGTTGTGTGGCGGTAGCCCCATCCTTTGCAAAGGTGTAATAATGTCCCGAATCAAGACTCATGCCACAATGTACTACAGTCGCGTACAAGTTGTATTGCGCCCCCTCTAACTTTATCGAACCGTCTAATTTAACGCGTTGAAGCAATTTCGTGCGCTGCTGTGAGACTGAGTCGTAACGGAAATTTTTGAGTGTGAGCACAAGCCGCGGAGGCGGTTCCACGACTTTGGTGACACGTTCGCCATCCGTCAGGCCACCGCATTTATCACAGTGATACTGGTTGTCATCACACAAACGTTCCGGTTGCAAATAGTAATCGACCAGGTGCTGGATGGACGAAGGCTCGTCGCCGCTGCTACTGGGGAAGGACAGTTGGAGTTCGCGAAACGTGTCTGCCCGTTCGCTCTGATTACCACAGTTGTTACACCGCGAAATCGTTACGGAACGACCACCAAACGAACGCTGCACAACCGTAAGAGGCGCAGAAGTAGCGCTACCACTGCTGCTAGGTGCATTCGCTAAAAACAAAATAAAATTTCATTTAAACCTCCAAAAAGTACTTAATGACAATTCATACATTAAAAATAGGCAAATATTTGGTAGGATATTAAAATATAGGCATTTAAAAGACGATTTCAAAAATTTGAATAACTTATGCGTTAGATCAATTGTGAAACTACAATATCGAAAAAAAAATCCTCTTATTATAAATTTGGACAGGAATTCGAATTGTCCTAAACCAGCTAATTAACTTTTTGGGTGTGAATCAAATTTAAATTAAAAGAAATTCAGTGCAAACGAAATATGTTATAACGGATGAAAGGAATAAAACGTACAATTGCTAGCGATTTCTTGTTCTCCGCTGATCGATTTCTCTTGTTCATGCAAGACATCTAAAAGGTATCCCAAAAATTCTGAACTATCGTGCTGATGGCCTGGTTGAAATCCCGGGGGCCGAGCCAAATTCAAAATATCATTTGGAGATAAAGAAGATTTCTGTGAATGTTGCAGAAGTGCAAACAGAATTTGCAACTTGGAAAACAAGGGCATTAAATCCCCTTTGGCTAACAGGACATCGTTCCTAAAGATCTTGGTCATGAAAAGAGCCTGAAGGACGCTATTCATATAACATGTGTTTCCCAGATTGTTTAAACCAACTTTTCCAAACGAATTGGGTTTGATCATTGTTGAAATTCCCCTATTAATCCATGGCTTACAGTTCAACAAACTTTTGTAATTAGAATTTGTTGTGTACGTTTCGAGGAATCTTTTGATAGACACATAGTTTTCCATACTTTGAGGAAATGTCTCCATCAAAGCCACACTCAAATTGACAATTTTTAACAAGTACATTTGGCTATTCTCTGAATTCTCTTTTTGTAGGAAAGTCAATACTTTGTTAAAATGGGGAGCTATTTTATTGAATGCTTCTGGATTGTGTTGCATACTAGATAGCATGTGTAACACCACAGGTCCAACAGTTTTTCTCGGTTCTGACAAGATAAGTAGTTTGAAAAGTCTCTCTATGAAATGAAGAGTGACTTGTACAAGTATATCGTAGTGTCCCTCCTCTTCCAATCCTTCCATAAAACACAACACAAGAGGCCCTAAGTTTGGTGTCCATGTCCAACATGATAACCAACAACATAAAGTCATTAAAGCTTCTTCTAAACTTTGTTCAGAATATCCTGATGATAACAACCACTTAACAGCGTCTGGAATTGCATCAATACTTATTAACTGCAAAACTATGGACATGGTGGCATGACGTTGCCTTTTTCGATCGGAAATACAGTTGTATAGGGTCTTAAGAGTTGTTGATATCAATTCTTCACTTGTACAAGCTTTTGTTAAGATTTCTTGGATATTTTTTACATCAGCCATAAATTTAACATACTCCTCAGTCTTCTGGGGCATGGACACAGTTCCCAAACTTTGAACTATTGTTTCACAAACTTTGGGGAGTTCCATGCCCTGCTGTTCAATTTCAAGGTTTAAATTTTGTAAGGCGCGCAAAATTAAATGCAGCCTACTTGGAGTATACACTCGTTCAACCACTTTATGTTTAACTGCCATTTTTTGTTTGTAGTCTCCTGTGAAATATTAAACATATTATACCTTTTTGCTTAAGAAGAAAATACTTATAATTGAAAC